GTGGAGATCTTCTCAGTGTAAAGAAAGATGGAATCATAAAATGTACGTGTAAGTGATGGAACTAGAAATTATTGTACTGACTGAAGTAACACAGACCCAGAAAAACAAACGATGTATGTTCTCTCTCACTTGTGGATCTTAGCACCAAATCCTCACATGTGAGTATATATCCTGATATAACTGCAGAAACTAGGAAAATGGAATGGAGCCAGAAGGTAAAGGGAAAGAAGGAGGCAGAGAGAAAGAGAGAGGAACAGTAAGAGACAGATGTTACTAAGGGGAAAATGGGTAAATGGAGATATTTAAATGGAAGGGGAAGAGGGAGGGTTATACAAGTGACCATGGGGTAAAGGAGAAGATGGAACTCAAGAGAGGGGGGACGATAGGAGATAGGTATTATCAAGAGTGAAATGGGGAAAATGGGGGTACTTTAACTGGGGAAGGAGGGCTAGAGAGAGGAGAGATAAATAATGCTTAGCTGGTGTGAAGAATCAGAGGGAAATGTAATGGTTTAAAAACCTACTGAAAATTATACATACAATATAGCTACATGTGTCCATGTGTATAGCTGAAGGTTATGTAACAAGAAACAGTGCCAGGTAAGAGAAACCTTCATTCCAGTTGTTGCCCAGGGTAATTAAAGAGACTCCCCAAATTACACAGGTTATTGCCACAGCCCTTGATTGCCAACCAGAACTTGAAGGCCAGACCCTATTTCCTGAAGACAGGATGTACTTTGGACACAGGACTTGGAGCAATGGAGTTGGAACTGAACTGGAATCCTTCTCCCTGATGCCTAGCTCTTACAGTTTTGGAGGACTCTATGAAAGCTGTTAAGGGAGAACATTAGTCAATGGTTCAACCGCAACTTTAAGGTCTAATGACCACAACCATGAACAGCCCAGCCAACTACATTGGTGCAGTATTGGCACTTTTATTTTGAAAGTGGGTAACTGACAGCTACCTAATTGGACTTAAAGCCAACTCACTGGCAGGGAAATTTGTGTAAGTATAGCCAAATACAGACGGTTGGATGAGTTATAGTTCTTACAGAAAACTATAAGGCTCTAACATCCCTAGACAAATGATATTTCTTACTATATGCTAATTTTGGGTCCTTATATTTACAGACAAGTATGCTTATCACCATTGATCAAAAAGCCTCTTTTGCAACAGAGGAGACTATTACTGTGTTTTGCAACTGGTCACCCACAGAGAATAAATATCTCTGAGATGCACAACCCTAAGTGACACAGCTAAAATGGAATTTCTACACCTAAAACTCACAGAACATACTGGAACAAGAGGGTAGAAAGAATGCCAATGCATCTCTCAACTCTCATTAAAGAATCTCCCTCATTCAACAGAGGGCAATGAACACAATAGGCTACAAATGGCCAATGTGTAGAGAATAAGAGTCTTCAGAGTGTGGGTCCTTGGACAGGACATATATAATTAATCACCATACACCCAGGGCTCAAGGACCATTGTGGAAGAGTGGGCAGAAAGATTGTAAGAGCCAGCAGAGGAGGTGCATGACCAGATGGAAAGAGATTCTTACAGCTTCCTGGAACCTTGCTCATATGAACTTACAGCAATGGTATCAGCATACACAAGATCCATACAAACTCATACAGAAAAAAGCCCAGCACAGAACTATGGAAATGGACAGCAGGCCCTAATCTTCACTAGAGAACTATTGGCAGATGATTATTGTTGGGTAAGGCCAGGGAAGGGAGAGTTGATCTTCTTTAAGGGAGTGACTCTAGATAGCTGACTAGATCCCAGTCAATGAACTTGCACCAAGGGACATCTGGGTACACTAACTTGACTGGATAGGCCTTAACATATATAACAGAATGCATGAAATCCGGTGGGGGGGGTTATGAGAGGGTGTGGATGGGGGAGCGGATATAAAGATGAGCAAGACGTTTTGTATGAAATACACAAAAGTTCCATAAAAATATATAAAACATTAATTCAACAAAAACAAATGGAGAAAGACTAAGGAAAGAATTTCCAATATAAACTGACATTGTATATATAAACATTAAAGGAAAAAGTCATTCCTGAGATGAAAGTCACATCCTGATTCACTAGTTTAGTTTATCAATTAGTGGATGGAAAAGATAAGAAAGCGTGAAGTCCACTCATTCTTGCTCCTGTGTTGACACTACACATGCAGTGCCACACATCTTCCCTCTTAGTTCCAGAATGTTCTAAAAACTACTGCATTTGAAATATTTGGTCACATGCTTTCAATTGTTATGAAATTAGTAGTAAATCTAACAGGCTAGATTCTCTGAATCTAAATATTCAGTTTGTCACAAGACCTCTGGGTCAACCTGTGACTAAAGTATAATTTCTGACAAAATCAGTGTTTCAGTACACCAATTGTGTAACCTTTTGTGATCTAACTTAATAAAATGGGAATTTAATATGTGTTACCTAACATTCATTAGTTGTAGTTGAAATAATGGAGTGTGCCCTCCGTAGTCTATTTCCAGGCATCAAG